AATTATCCTGGAGGGGCCAGAACTCATCAGGTGAGCCCTTAAAAGGACAGATTCCTCCTGGCAAAAGGGATCTGAAGCATGAGAAGGCTTCAGCCTGGAAGAGAGCAAATTTTCCAGTATGAAAGCCCAACAGACACCAATTTAACCAAGTGATCGAGGAAACATCACCAGGAGCAAGACACAGTGACACCCTGAATGCCCCAATCTAATGCTCTGAAGAGGGTACAACATCGTTTTTGTGACAGTCTTGCCAAAAATGCACGACCTTGTTCTAAGAAAGAAAGATAGAGGGCCTGTTACAGATAGGAGGGGACTCAAGATAAGTAACAACTAAATGCAATGTGGGGTTGTGGACCAGATCCTGAAACAGAAAAAAGATATGCATAAAAATATTGGTGAAATTTATTTTTAAATCCTTGCCCAAAGATATTTTTATTGATTTTAGAGAGAAATATTGATGTGAGACAGAATCATTAATGTGAGACAGAATCATTGATGTAAGACAGAATCAGTGATCTGAGACAGAGACATTGATTGGTTGCTTCCCATAGATACTCCAACTACAGATCGAACCTGCAACCTTTTGGTATATGAGACAATGCCCCAACCAACAGAGCCACCGGCCAGGGCAAAACATCGGTGAAATTTCAATATGGCCCGTGGCTTGGCTAATGTGTCCATGCTGATTTCCTCTTCTTGGTAACTATCCGATGGGTGAGGGATAATAAAGGTACTCTCCCATATTTTTTTTACATTTCTTTAAGTCTAAAATTAGTCCAATATAAATAGTTTAAAATAAAAGGAAATGGTTGAGTAAATTAACAGAGGTTGCTTCAGGGCTGAAGGATTTCTCCCTGAACAAGTTTCTTACAGACTTTTTCTCCCATGCTTCTTTATACTCTTCTTTGCAATAAGTATGCATTACTTTTGATAACCAGAGGCAAGGGGTTGGACTAGGTGGGCCAGTGCAAAGGATGCTGGTTTGGGGCCGTGGAGCGGTTCTAGGTGAGCAGAGTCTGGACCCCAGGACACAGGGCCGCTGAAGCAGGGCAACGACTCTTTGATAGGGAACAAGGCAATCCTGGTGCCTTAGACCCCAGAGCCCTTCACAGTTGCTGGACCCAACCTAAATTTCTTCTAAAAAAGAAAAAACTTCTATATATATATTTCTTTTTAGAGAGAGGGGAAAGGAGAGAGGATGAGAGGGAGAGAAACATTCACGTGTGAGAGAAACGTCAATCGGTTGCCTCCCACGTGCCCCCAACCAGGCACTGGCCCACAACCCAGGCACATGCCCTGACCGGGAACCAAAAGGTCACCAGTCTTTAACTGCTCTTAAACCAGCCAGGGCCCAACCTTAATTTCTAGCCATATCACGTGTCCCTCCACCAGCCACGCTGGCCTATGCTAAGACCACCCTCGCTCCAGGAGTACACCTTTGTGTCGCTCATTAGTCGCACGACTCTGGTCAGGACGCCCGCCTCCTTCTCTCTTTTCCTCCTTGCTTTCAAAGCGTGGCTAAATTCCACCTCCAGGAAGCCTTCCCAGACCACTCTTGGCCCCAGTCGCCTCACCTTGCTCTGACCTCCTTAAGTGTCTCTTGTCTGCTGCACTCAGTGGAGCTTAAGGAATGAACGTCACAAGATAGCATGTACCTTTCCGTGCGCACTCAGCTCACCTCCACACATATTTTACGAGCAGCTCTGGAAGAGAGGCAGTGTTCTGCTGACACGTGGAGTGGAAGAGGAGGAGTGGCCGAGCGCTAGGGGCTGGGGCAACGCCCCGCAGTGCTCCTTCGCCTCCCTGCAGCACACAGCCCCGCTGCCGCCACAGGCCGCAGGTCCACGGGCCGGGGGTCTGCTGTGCCTGCTCCCCAAACTCTTATGCCACTGCTGCTTGTTTTTACGATTACAATTAAGTAGTAACTGAAGTGGAAATGCAGAAAGTTTTGATTTCTACAAAATTAAATGAAGCGCCCTGTACTGGCAATTCTGAAACTGTAGCCTGAGACACACGGTGAACCCTGCGTCATGGAGACCAGGTCAGGAGAACTGGGAGGTAAAAGCGGTTTCTATTTTTATATAAAGATGGTAAAAGCTTTTTCATTCTCATTTTTCAGAAGCTACCAGAAGTGTGATGAATGTGTGCTACATAGTCTTGAGTTTTCTAGAAATTTCTAAGGTAGATGTTTAGGGTATAAATACATTTGCTTTCAGAGATTAATTCATTTTGTTCTCAGGATTGCAACTAAGTATTTACTATCATCTAATATAGTAATAATATATTACTATATAACAAATAATAATTATTAGTAATAATAATAATTATTTTTGAAATCTTGAAGAGCTGCAAGAGTGTAAAAATTTTATTTTGGAAGTTATTTTTCATAAAAATATACTTTTTATGCTAACATATAATGACCTTACTTTTGTTATTTTAAATGAATAACTTTTTATTTTTTAAATTATGTATTTATTTTTAGAGAGAGGGGAAGGGTGGGAGAGAGGGAGTGAAACACCGATGTGAGAGAGAAACATGGATCGCTTGCTTCTTGCACACACCCCATGAGAGGACAGAACCCGCAAACCAGGCGTCTGCCCTGACTGGGGATGGAGCTGGCGAACTTCAGCTTCGCAGGATTTTGCCCAACCAACTGAGCTGGACTGGTCAGGGAATGAATAACTATTTTTAGTTTTAATTTTTAGCATGATAGCCCTGGCTGGGTTATGTGTCCTGAGCAGTGGATTGGAGCCCCAGTTCACCGAGGTTGTGGGTTCGATCCCCTCTCAGGACACACACAAGAATCAACCCATAAATGCATAAATAAGTGAAACAACAAATCAATGTTTGTCCTTCTCTTTCCAAAATCAATCTAAAATTTTTTAAATAATTTTTAGCATGATAAATATCAATAGGTATAGCCACATAAGCAAAAGACAGTATTAAGGAATCCTAGGATCAAAAAGCTTAAGAACTGGCCACCTAGGAAGATGCTTTACAAATGGAAACAAGAGGATTAAATTAGGAGTGTGCATTACAAAAGTAGGATTGGCACGTGGGCTGGTTTGCAAATGTCTTTTGAATTCTTTATTTATTTTTTAATGAAAATTAACAGATGTTTAAACCCTTTCCCCAGCACTTCAACTTCTGTGAATTTCTCCTATTAGCACATTTACATGTGTAAGAAATGCCATTTGTACAGTTTCACTGCAGCAGTGACTGCAATGACAAAATACAGGAAACAACCCAAGTTAGGGAGAGAGGGAGGCGACAGCATTGATTAAAAATTTACTGTACTTCCATATTCTGGAGTAATAAGCAGTTAAAATAAAAGGATGATAAAAGTATTCTATGCGCTAATACAGAAAGATGTAATATAGTTGGTAGGTAAAAAAACAAGATATGCTAAACAATGTGTCTAAAAAGCAAACTTGTAGCATTAGTAAGATGTTCAGTGAATCATCTTACTAATGTGTGACTTTTTTTTTTTAATCCTCACACAGGATATATGTATTGATTTGACGGAGAGAGAGAAACACTGATCAGTTGCCTCCTGTATGCACCCCAAAGGGAGACTGAACCCACAGCCTATGGGTGTATGGGATGACACTCCAACCAATTGAGCCACTCAGCCAGGGCACATGTGTGACTTTTTAAACTGGTTTTTAGCCTTTGATCTTTGAGCTATGTGAATGTGGCCTAGTGAAAAACACTCAATAAAAAAATGAGAAATCACAAGTGATACAACGTGGTGTGATATTTTTATATACCAACAATTTGCAAGTCTCATTAGGAGATGTGGAGACCCAAAGAAAAGGCCTTGGCCCTGAATCAAAATTTTGGCAAATAAAAATATATGTACATGCTTTAAAGGTAATAGAAATTGGCCCTGGCTGGTGTGGCTCAGTGGATTGAGCACCGGCCAGCGAACCAAAGGGTCACTGGTTTGATTCCCAGTCAGGGCACATGCTTGGGTTATGGACCAGGTCCCCAGTAGGGGGCGCTCAGGAGGTAACCACACACTGATGTTTCTCTCCCTCTTTCTTCCCCCTCCCTTCCCCTCTCTCTAAAAATAAATAAATAAGTCTTTAAAAAAAAAAAAAGCAAAGGTAACGTAAATTGTTTAAAACATGGATTTTTTTTTTTAATTCTTAATTTTTGGCTGATGTTTTTTATTAACTACTAATACTGAGTACATTGACCAAGAGCCTCTAGGGATCCCTGGTAATACACTCAGAACAGTCACCTTCTCATTAGCACGTTTACATTGAGTGTTTTTCACTAGCCTCGCCTGGGCCTGATGAGGAAGAAAAGTTCGGAGGCCTGAGAAGGCAGCCAGATCTCCAGTTTCCAAGGCAGGGAATTGGTTTCCCATAGCTGGTCATGCCAAGCTCCCTCTCAGGCTGATTCTGCAGCCACCCTTCCTGCTGGCTCTGTGGGAGTCCCAGAGGGCCCACAGGGGGCTGTGCCTCTGGATCGCAGCTGGGCCCAACAGAAGGTCCCCTCGGGAGCCCCGATTGTTACAGTACGGGTGGGGATGAGGCCGCTGGGGCATGCAGACCTTGCGGCGAGGCCACCCTGCCTGTCCCTTGGGAGAGCACAAGGCCCCCAGCTGGCAGCAGACTCTGGACTCCTTATCTGCCGGCACTCTGCCAGCCCACCAGCCTCGAGGTCAGACAAGTCCTCTCCAGACATCTGGTGAGTCCTGGCTGGGGTCCCGCGGCATGACCCTTCCTCACCCACACTCCCCACCCTGCCAGGTCCCCAGGGAGTCTGGGAAGAGAAAGAAATAGAGGACTTCTCCAGGGGAAGCTTCTCTCCACAAAAGGGGAGACCCCCCTTTCCCCAAATAAGCACAGAGACAGCTGGCTCCTTCCTCTTCACATGATCAAAGACTAGGATTATCAGCAACTTCATGATCACTTTTAGGAATCAAAATGGGCCCCTTCTTTGGTCTGTACCAACGAACCTCTTGGTCACTAGCAAGCAATGTGACTCACCAGTTCCAATTTCTTTAGCTGTAACACAAAGGGGCTACACTTGAAGCTTCCCAAAGTTCCTCCAGCTCAACATCCAATAGTCTGTGGTTCTGTAAAGTGCCGGAACATGATTTTATTCAGGCATCAAGAGCAAACAGGCTGAGTTATCCCAGCAGAGTGGGGAGAAGGCCCCAATTCCCAGACATATATAATCGATTCACAGCACTACTAGTACTTAGCTCCCAACATCTTATAAACACTGGACATAGACCGAGGTTCCTCCTGGGACAGAGCAGGCTGTGAGCAGGTGAGGAATGATAGAGGTGGGCAGGGCTTGAAAACAGAGCCAGTCCAGTGACTGACACATACTGCATTTGTGCACACAGTCAGTCCTTCCTGCCTTTGTATCAGCCCCAAAGAGGAGTGTTTCCATTACCTGAAGAAATGAGAGTAGCTCCCAAAACTTAATGGGGGGGGGGGCACAAAAAAACTTTTTCCTTTGCGCAGTGAATCTGTGGGACAATCCCTGGCAGGCCACAGAAGAGAGGCCTCCCCATTTCTGGCCTCCCTAAGTCAGGGAGATGAACCAGCTTTCACCCCACTCCCACCACACACCCCTCAGAGATGGTAGAGAGAGGGAGGAGAGGGAGAAGGGGAAGAAGGAAGAGACGGTGATTGTGTTCAGGCACAGTCACAACACACTGCAGGGCAGCGACAACGGTGATGGGCCAGGATCTGAACACAGGTTCAGAAGCCCACCTGGCTCAGAAGCCCACCTGGCTCAGAAGCCCAGCGTTCTCCTGCCGCCTGCCACCCCTTTAGCAGAGTGCTGTCCTCTCTGAACTGAACTGAACACGACACTGGGACCCCTGTGGTGCTGCCACCTCGTTCCTCATATATGTTCGTCCTGCCCAACAACAGGTGTGCAGCAGCCAGCCTCAACCCCTCGCCGCGGCCCGCAGGGGCCAGTGCAGAGCCAGCCAGAGACCAGGCCCTGTGACAGACACTGAGGGATGCACGGCCACTCCGAATCATCGCCCTTCGTGCCTAAATGACGAGGCCAACCATCCTATGTCTGGTGCCCCCTAGCCAAGCTGCAAACCAAAGACAGGAAGAGCAGCCCTAGTCTACCTCCTGGTTTCCACACAATTTACGAAAAACTCACCTCTGAGTCTCCAAGAGGAAATAGAATGTGGTTTTTAATCCCACCTGCTACAAGCTATGATTCCAGACATTTTTTTTCCTCTTGCTTCGCCAAGCCCCTTTCAGTTTTTATGGCCCTTGTTTTAAGTGGGAAGGATTAATGGATAAGAGACCACAGATCTAGTCTGACCTCAGCACTGACCCCTGACCACCCACGTAGAGGACTTTGGGAGCAGAGCTGGGCCAGAGGCCAGCGAAGCCAGGCCGGTCCCCTCTGCGGGCGATCATCACCGCTTCCGAGCAGCTGCCCAAGCAGCCCGGGTTTCCTAGGGAAGAGTGACCAACGGTAAACGCAGACCCGGGGCGGCTCCAGGAGGAAGGGTCCCGTCGGAGCTGCTCCTGCCCTTGCCCTGTTCGGGCCCGCCCCCACCCCCACAAACCGTGGCCACAGTTCTCTTGAACACCCAGGCCCTGGCTGACACTAGGTCCTCACACTGTAGCCACAATTCAGAGCTGAGGCAATTTTCTTGGCTTAACTGGACCTCAGGATCACATGGTGAACCGCTTGGATGCCTATTTTGTTCTACTGCCATAACCATCCGAGAGAGGGCAGCCTAAACCGGACCACCTAAGTTGGTCGGTGAGGACCAAAAATAGCTAAAAATCCCTGCCCGAGAGGCGAGCCAGGTCGGAGGGAGCTTAGTCCCTCTGCTGCCGTTCTCCATCTCCGGCTCCCGGCCGGCAGGAAGATTTGAGTCATTTTTCTTAAGTTAGGATGTGGTCTGGCCGAGTGGGACAGGGTGGGGGCCACAGCTGGTGGGAAGCAAAGTCCGGTCACCAGTGCCCCGTCCGGGCCGCCCCAGCAGCTGCCCAGCTACTCCCCTCTTTTTCTGTCCTCGCGCCGCAAGCTCCAGGAAGCCGCCCTGAGCCTGCAGCGTGGTTTTCCACGCTCCGGGCACCTTCTCTGGCTCCCACCCCGCGCGCTCTCCAGCCCACTGGACCGCAGCTGCGACCTCCCCTTCCTTCTCCCAGAACCTCATCGTGGCACCTCGGCCAGGTGTCGCCCCTGTCCAGCGTCTGGGCCCGTGTGCGGGTCCTCCGGAGTCCGCTCCTCGGTCCCGCCCGAGGCTTCGGGGACCGCGGCCGGGCCCCCGCCCCCACCGGGTGACCCGAGCCCGGAGGCGCGGGGCCGCATCCCCGGCGCTCGGCGCGGCCCGGCCCGCTCGTCCTCCGCCCCTCACCTGAAGCTGGGGCGGACGCCACCGGGCCCGCGCAGACTCACAAGCCAGGTGCTCGGGCGGCCTGTAGTGGCGGCGGCGACAGCGACAGCGGCTCTGTCCCGGCGTCCGCGCAAGCAACCCGCGCGCCCTCGCTCCCCGGCCTGCGTCCGTCCCCGCCACGCCGCGCATGCCCGGCTATATACCCTGCGCGTCAGCCGCGCCCCGCCCCCGCCCGCCCCCGCCCCACCCTGCGCTCCCCAGGGCGTGCCACGTGGGGCCCCGGCGGGCGGGAGGGCTACGTGCGGGAGCCGCCCGCCGCCAGCCAGGCTCGGGCCCGCTCCGGGCCCGCCGGGGCGAGCCAGCGCCCTACTGAGCCTTGCGGCCCGCGGCTGGCGCCCTAGGTCGCCGAGATCCCAGCTCCTGTCCGACCCCGGTCAGGGTCATCTTCTAACCTGGCTGCGAGCTGCCTCCATCATTCACGGAGCCGCACGGGCTTTTTCTCCCTGGGGAAGGAAACCTCCCCCTAGGACTTCCCCGCCACCCCCACACCCCTCCTGTGGGAAGGCCTCACAACCTGCCCTCCACCCCTGAGGAGTAAGGCTGCTGCTCACCTGACAGGCATGTGTCTATTTTAACACATCTGATTAACATAAAAAGCTCCTCCCTTCCCTCCCCAACCCAATTCTGAAACGTACCCTAGAAGGGGACGCACCCAGACGGTTTCTTCTGTAATTTCCCATCCGCCGAAAGAACAAAAATTTCCTGCTCACGTGCCAAACCAACCATATTAACACTCACTTTTCGAACTCGATGTCACATCACTGCTCCAAAGGATCAGGCTCCTGAAGGAGACAGATCTCTCAACCCAAAGCTGGGGAAAATGTTCGTTTTCGTGTCAGGACTGTCTTCGGAATCCCTTCGACGGGACAGAGTCCTATTGAGATGGCTATCAGGCCTTGGAAATGCTCATTTCTTAAGAAAATAAGCCACCCATTAAACTCTATTGTTCTGTTCTGCTGGACTTCAGTATTATTTCCTCTACAGCTAAGCCAGCTGCCAACTGGGTCTAGGGGACAGAAAAGAAGGGCCTTGGGGCATAACTGTAGCTAGTTAGTACCTCTGGCCATGTCCTGGCTCTATGACTGGTGCCCCGCTGGCCCTGGGGCTGCATTCGCCAGGGAAGGGGCGCCACATCCACTCTGCAGGTCCCAGGGTGAAACCGCCCGCCACGGCCCAACTCAGGGAAAGGAAAGCAGACAATCCCTGGAGCAGGTCGCAGGAAGAGCCCAGGGCTGGATGGCCGCTTGCCCTTCAGGGCTGGGAAGAGAGGGGAAAAGAATGCGCTGAAGCAGAGCCAGAACAGGCAGAGTGCTTCTGCCGCTTCTGAAGAGACTAGCTAGGCCCTGGGCTTTTCTGAAAGCCTATTATCCTCACCCTGCAATTACAGTGCTCCAGTTAGGAAAGGGATAGGGTGATGTTACTCTCACTTTCCGAGGGATTTCAAAATAATATTATCCCTTGCAAAATTTCCCTCAGAGCCCTGTCATCTTCATAATAACCCTTTATATTAGTGTTTCTTGGTTAAACGCAGAGTATTTTTCAGACATTATGTCATCCGTTGGGGATTCCTAATCCCATCTCCAGTGGGGCTGTCAGAATTGGTCGTCTTTACCACTCCTTCCTGTCCTTGAAGTTCCGGGAAAAGGAATGAGAAACTCACCGGAGATTAAGTAAAACAAACATGCTTCTAACACCCAGAGCTCTGAAAAGCATGAAGGCCATGAATACACACTACAAAGGGTATGAGTCTCTTCTGAAATTTGAGGTCCCAAAGCAACCCCATGGTGCTCCCAGGTCAGGCGCCAGCGCTGCACGCAGGGGAGTCAGGCGGGCGCTGTCAGAGACGGCAGCAGAGGCAGGACAGACGCCCACCGCAGGGCCTCCCACGGCCTCCCCGTTTGTTTGCAACCAGAGGAAGGGTACAGCTGCCAAAGTCCACCAGAGCTGATAAGCTATCAGTAATCCATTAGGGGAATATAATTAATTATTAACACAGCTCGAAATCAAAGGTTTTAAGTCTCCATATCCACCGCAGCACAGCATTCAGTAGGTTCACCCTAAGACCATCCTGGTCACTTACTTTTTCACATCTACAGCCAAGAGCGGGTCACGGACTCATCTTTTCCTCTACCTAACATGCCCCCTTTTCCTCTTTATTACCCTATTTCCACTTGTCAAAATTCTAACTCTTCAATACCATCTCCCTTCAGAAAATTTCTTCATTTTTCCAAAGCATCATTTGATCTGCCCTAATTTTTTACTGTAATCCACATTTAAGAATATTTTACACCGTAACCCCAGTACAAATAGCAAACAAAAATTTTACAAAATTTCCTTAGGATATGCAATATACTGATATTTTATATTCTATTTCAATTTTTAAAAAACTGGTAACCTACTAAATTGACTTCATGACCCATTACCTGGGTTATGACCCACGGAATTAAAACATTTTATGTGGTTTATGCATTGTCCCCTTAAAATTATTTCACTTCTATCCCTAACCTACTTATTAGACCTTAATCTGTCTCAATTACCAAACATTTCTGTGAATACCTGCATCCCCTAACATAACCCCTTGCACATAACAGATTCTCAATCAGTATTTGCTGAATGAACGCACCGTGTAGGGGCCGAGGCTGCACCCTTGATCCTTCCCTAGGATGAAAAACCTCAGCGCCGCATTTTATCCAGAGCTGTGGGATCCGGGTTGTTGTCATCTATTTCCATCGGTGGCCCTCGTTTATACCTCGATATTTTCCTCCCTCCCTCCTTTCTTCCTCCCCTTCTTTTCCTTGTTCCTTTTCCCCCCAATTCAGCAACTTAACAAAAAATACTTTTTATTTTCTATTTTGGTCAACATTTGTCAGAAGGGTCAGCTCAGTATGCTATTTTGTCGCAAGGCTCCCTGGTTTACTCATTTAAAAAAGTATACATATTATTTAGATTTTATTTTACTGATTATGCTATTACAGTTGTCCTGATCGCCCCCCCCCCCCCTTTTTCCTCTATCCACCCAGCACCTACCCACTCCCTCCGGCAATTCCCCCCTATCGTTCACGTCTATGGGTCATGCGTATAAGTTCTTTGGCTATTCTATTTTCTACACTGTACTTTGCATCCCCGTGGCTATTCTTTAAATACCAATTTGCACTTCTTAACCCTCTCGCCTCTTCACCCATTCCCCCGACATCCTTATCTCATCTGGCAACCACAAAATGTTCTCCATATCCACAATTCTGTCTCTGTTCTTCTTGTTTGCTTAGTTTGTTTTTTAGAGTCAACTGTTGATAGGTATGTAGTTGAGCCTTGGTTGCTGTTGGCAGTCAATCGGAGGGATTTACCCAGGCCAGTCAGCTGCAAGGATTGGCTGTGATCACGTCTACCAACCTCCGCCTTCCCATGGAGGATCAGCTGTGTGGAGGCAGGGTGGTGGTGCTCTGACATGGTCTGTAGCTGTCCATTGGGTGCACTGGCCCTGGGGTTTCCCAGGGGATGCAGGCCATGGTCAACCCCCACCTGTGTTTTGCCCGGGGCCACCCTGCCTGAGCTATAAAACAATCTGAGATGGCTGCTACTTGTGCTGGGTTTGGAGATTTCCAGGTGAGGGCAACCCGTGAATCTAGGCTGGTTGCTGCTAGCGATGGGTCTAGGGTTCACTGAGACAAGCTGTTGCTTGTTTGATGAAGCATGAGCCAAGACTAACCATTCATATAAAAAGCAGCTTGGGTGGGCCCATAAATTGGGTGAGGCAGTCTCTAGGGATCTACAAGGCAGGTTAGCCAAGTTGATGGAGTCTGATATGGCATCAGCTTGCCAGCTCTGTGGGTGGAGGGGTTAGAAAGGGACAATGGCCTCTGCTTATTTTGATGCCAGACAGTTCAGTTTCTCCCTATCACTGGTGCCTCTCAAGCTCTATCCCATTGCTGGAGCTCAGAGGGAGCGAGTCTGAGTAGGCGAGTCCATGTGTGGGTTCTTTAAGAGGAACTGCTTGGGGCTCCAGCAGTTTCTCCCACCAACTCAATGCCTGCTGGTTTTTGCAGGCAGAAGTTGTGGGGACTTATCTTCCTGGCACTGGAAGCCTGGGCTGGGGGGCCTAGTGTGGGGCTGGGAAGCCTTGCTCCTGAGATATCCCTTCCAAATTTTCATCCACCACACATGGGTCAGAGATCAGCTGGTTCCACATCTACGCCCCTCCTACCAGTCTGGATGGTTCTGGTTTCTTCAATTCCGTAGTTGTCAGACTTCCATTCAACTTCATTTCTGAAGGTTCTGAGTGATGACTGTTCTATATTTTAGTTGTAATTTTGATGTGGCTGTGAGAAGAGGTGAGCTATGTCTGCCTATGCCACTACCTTAAGCAGAAGTCTCTTTTTTTCTAAAAGCGGTTTTAGGTTCACAGCAAAACTACATAAAAAGTAGTTTTCCCATATATAGCTAGCCTCCTCCGCTATCAACAACACCCACCAGAGCGGTACATTTGTTACAACTGATGAACCTCCACTGACATAGCATAATCACCACCCAACATCCCTAGTTTACATCAGGGTTCATGCTCAGCGAGTCACATTCTATGGGCCTGGACAAACGTGTGACACCACCGTATCACACAGGACAGGTCCCTTGCCCTGGAAACCCCTCTGCTCTGCTTACTGGCCAGGCCCCCTTCCCTCGCCCCTCATCGTTTTACCATCTCCATGCTTTTTGCCTTTGCAGAGGGTCACATAGCTGGAATCACACAGTTCGTAGCCTTTTCAGACCAGCCTCTTTCACTTAGTGATGTGCAATTAAGTTTCCTCCAGGTATTTTCGTGGCTTGATAGCTCATTTCTTTCTAGCATTGAATATTCCACTGCTCAGATGTCCCTCAGTTTATTTTCCCACTCACCAACTGAAGGGCATCTTGGTTGCTTCCAAGTTTTGGCAATTATGAATAAAGTTGCTATACACATCCATGTGCAGGTTTTTGTGTGGATGTAAGTTTTCAACTCATTTGAATACAATTCCAAGGAGAGTGGTTATTGGATATGGCAAGAGGATGTTGAGCTCTAAGAAACTGCCAATAGGTTTTTGAGAGTGACTGCACCATTTGGCATTCCGACCGGCAATGAATGGGAGTCCCTGTTGCTCCACATCCTCACCAGCATTTGATATGGTCTGTGTTTTGGATTTTGGCCATTCTACGTGTAGTAGTTTCTCATTTTAATTTGTAATTCTCTAATGACATATGATGAGCATCTTTTCATATCTTTATTTGCCAACTGTATATCTTCTTTGGTGTGAGATAAATAGTTGGCAAAAAGATTTATCTGTTCAGGTCTTTTACCCGGTTTCTAATCAGGTTGTTTTCTTGAGTTTTAAGAATTCTTTGTATATTTTGGGTAAGAATCCTTTATCAGATATATCTTTTGCAAATATTTTCACCCAGTCTTTGGCTTGTCTTTTCAGTCTCTTGATTTTCCTCATTTTTTTAAAAAGAAATAAAATAAGTCCAGACAGGAAGTTACTAAGAAATTCAGATACAGAGCCAGAGAGAGAGAGAGAGAGAAAGGTCTTCTCCAATAATCACAAATCACTGAGAAATTTCAGACACAAATTTTAACGTTTTCCAATAAACAGCTAGTCATTTGGAAAACGTCTTCTTTTTTCACACCATTCAACAAAATGCTGCCCAAGTAAAAAGGGCCCTTAGCACTGTATAGACATTAGGTCCTTTCTGCATGAGTTCAAAAGCACTGTATCATTTAAGAATGGAAGAAAGGGATGTAGTAATGCAGCAAGCAACCAGGGTGCTTTGGAAAGGTGTTTTTAAGGGTTATAGACACACCATGAAGTACATGCAAAAAAAAAGGGTACACATTAGGGAAAAAAAGAGGGGAGTGGGCTCTCACATAGGCTAACAGAAATTGTCTGAGGGGAAAAGAGGTTCAAAAAACATGACAAAACACACACATACAAGTAAATGCTTCATTTGTTCCATAAGTAAGACTGTCAGTGTCTTTTCCAAAACTCTTACTACCCAGGTCACAGTGAAATTACCTGGCTACTAGTATTAGAGCTCCACCTTGTATGCCAAGAAATAAATAATTCTAGCAAGTGTTGTGGCTCTCTGAAGGAAAAAAACAGTATCAACATATCAACGGCATTATTTCAAACACAACTGCGTATTTATACAAATTTGTTTTTATTTCCTACCTGGTGACCCAACCATTTTGCATTAGGCTGAAAAATTGCCCTGGCTGGTGTGGCTCGGTGGGCTGAGCGTTGTCCCGCGAGTCGAGAGCCCACCATGCAATTCCCGGTCAGGGCACTTGCCTGGGGTACGGGCCAGGACCCCAGAGGCATGCCACTGGGTTGGGGCACGCAAGAGGCAACTGGTCGATGTGTCTCTCCTTCTCTTTCTCACTCCCTTCCCCTCTAAAAATAAATAAATAAAATCTTTAAAAAAAGTCTGAAAAACAAAGGAAGAAAACCAAGAATAAAAAGTGAAGAAATTTGTGTATTATACCGAAGTTTTTTTATTACATAAGAGAAAAGGAGTATTAAGAAATCCAGCTTCCGAAGAGAAACTCAAAATGTTTCCAAAAAGAGTCAGAAAACTGAGAGAGACCAGTGCCCCAGTTTGTTTGCCCCAGTAGTTTTAAACTCCCAGGTCTTCCCCGGCTCACGTGCCACACTCCACGCAGGGCCGGGGCGCGCCTGAGGGCCAGCAACACCCAGGGCTCCCCAGCCACGGCTGAGCTCTGTGACAACCTGACAGTTTGCTTGGCTTTCCTCTGAGGAGCTTTAAGCTGAAGTGTCTCTTCTTACACACTGCCACATAAAATGGGAATTTCTGACTTATCCCTTCCTGCCATCACACAAAAAATGAAGTAAAAATTTGAAAAGGTTACATAAAACTGACTTTTAAAACCCAGTTAAAGCCTGGTAAGACTGAAGTAACCCTGGAGGGACTGAAAGGAGATTTTAAAACAGGGAAAATAAACACAAAAACAGTGCTTCCCCTAAACACTGAAACCCACAGGCACAGTGACAACGTTCTCAACTGAAAGGTCTGGACTTTGGCAGAGGTGTCACGCTTTCCAAAGCCAACTTCAGCAAATCATAATCTGGATTCAGAAAAACTAACAAAATGAGCCAACATCCAGGAAAAGGTTATTGAGTTAGGAAAGTGAATGATTCAATTCACAGACATAGAGCAACAGAAAAGGCGGCCACACCACTGGGAAAAAGGTTCAAGAGAAGCTCACACCCCATCATAAACTTTCCTTGCAGTTGAATTTCACCTGTTCTGATTCTTAATTTAAAAACTGAAATTTATGGCCCTGGCTGAGTAGCTCAGTTGGTTGGAGCATTGTCTCGATGCACCAAGGTTGTGGGTTCAACCCCTGGTCAGGGCACATACAGGAATCAACCAATGAATGCATAAATAAGTGAAACACGTCAATGTTTCTTTCTCTCTAAAATAAAAAAACTAAAAACTGAAACAATAAAAATCAGTTTGTAAGTTGTGGGGGGCAGATGAAGAAATCACCATGGTCTACCAGAGTAACTGAAATATACGGAAAAGCTTTATCTGGCCTCTCGCAGGGGAGACCCGAACTCGCCTTTCAAGGCCCACTCAGGACGCAGGCGCCACGCATCGATCCCCAGAGATCAGGCCAGCAAGCGCCTGATTATACCACCTGCTGGCTTCCCTGCGCGTTGTTCACACTTGCCTGCAACAGCAGTATCTTGAAAAACGTTGCCTCATAGGCCTTTTTATTTCTTCTCCCAGTTGCCCAAATAAAGGAACTCTTTCCTTTAAGAAACTTGGCGGTGACTTCATTATCGCTTCTGGCACCAGAGACAAGACTTGCTTAGTAAGCAGAGCTAGGTGTAACTGCTGCTTCTGAAGGTTTCTGCAGCTCCTGCTGGCTTTGCAGGCTCTTAAAGGTTTCTCGTATTCACCCATTCCATCTACGCAGTAGCACCATCACTCACTTATCTACAAAGGCAACCAGGCAATTTCCAGCTGACACTTAGAATGCACCTTCCTTCTTGGTGATACCAGGTTTAAAATAGAAAAAAAAAAAGGCAAAAAGGTATCTTATTGTACTAGGTTGGGGAAAGGGAAAAACATCAACACAAAACCCCCTTGATCCTGTGTGAGTCACAGCTGAGTTCAGAAGTCTAATTCCTCTCAGCCTGTATCCCAGTGGCCTAGTCACAGGAAGAACAGGTTCTCGCACAGCTGGATGGCTGGTTCGTGATGCAAGATCTGTCCTGACAGGAAAGCCAGTTTGTGGGCATACTTGCAAGGAGCTGGAACCCTGATCGTGCCAGGCCAATTCCAGTACATGTGACACAGTTTGAAAGTCAACCTGCAGGCCAATAAGAAAATGCGATCGTTATTACTTCCCACTGTCATTCTGCGACATGGTCATGTGCTTACAGGTGCGTACTTTCCTGCAAACTGGGGCACCAAAAAATACATGATGCGCTTTTTAATTTATTTTTTTACATGATGCAATTTGAGGACTCATTGTTTTTAAGTGGAATTGTTTCTATTTCCTCCATTTGTCAGTGTGGAGGACATGGGTAAATTCCTTCACTTTAGGTGCCCCCTGTTTTTATATCAAAACAAAGAGAAAAAATTTTTTTGCCTCAAGAAGATGCTGCAGGAGGGTGAGTACCCCAGAAAATTATTTATACAGTCTAAGTGTAAGGGCTTTGGGTATCAAATTAGGCTGTATCTCATAATCATCAAGAGCAGTTTTAAAAAATATATAAATGCCTCAGAATGCTCAGGGGTAAATCTTGGGTATCTGTATATTTTTTAAGCTCTTCGAGTAAATTTAATGTACAGTAGGATTACCAATTACTCTTCCCAAAGATACCATGATTACGAAAGATGTGAAGAAACTTGGGTAAATATTCCTGGGGGCGGGAAGTGACTCGACCTTAGCTGGCTGGTCAGAGTAAGAACGAGGGAGTTATTGGTCAGCTCACCTCTGCATGTGATCAGGGCTCAGGTTTGCGGTGTTGAGAACACACACGTAATGTGTAGGAATGCCGCAGCCTTGTCGTACGTGGTGGGCAAGAAGGTAGAAGTCCACCCTGGTAAAGAAAAAGGACAAAGCGAATGGTATGGTCGGATCTGACCACAGAGAGGTGAGGAAGATCTTGGATATCATTGTAGCTCCTTCAGCTAAGGCTCAGAGAGGTCACATAACTGGCTCGGGGACACACAGAGACAAAACCGTAATCAGATCTCTGGTCTACTGACTCAACAGCCTCTTCAAGAATCACGGTAGAAAGTACCCTGTCTGTGTGCAGAACATTAAGCATGGATCTTAAGAATGTATGTTCAATATTTTATACCTAACAAGTAAAAACTTTCTGGTTGAATTTTTTTTTAATAGCTTTTAAAGCTTTATTTATTTTTAAAAATTATTTATTCATTCATTTATTGAGAAATGGGAAGAGGGGGAGAAAGACAGGGAGAGAAATATCAGTGTGAGAGAGAAATAATGATCAGTTGCCTCTCGCATGTGCCTGGACTGGGGACCAAACCCACAACCCAGGCATGTGCCCTGACTGGGAATCAAACCAGTGGTCTTTTGCTTTGTGGGATGATGCCCAACCAAGTGAGCCACACTCCGGTCAGGGTAAAAGCTTTATTTTTTTTTTAAAGGTGGAAATATCTTTTTTTTCAATTACAGCTGACATTCAGTTTTATTTTGTATTAGTTTCAGGTGCACAGCATAGTGGTTAGACAATTATACACTTTACAAAATGTTTCCCACTGGAAATAATATCTCTAGTACCCACCTGGCCCAATACACAATTATTACAATATTATTGACTGTACTTCCTATGCTTTATTTAAGCTTTATTAAAGCTTTATTTTTTAACAGTGAAATCTCTGAGGATTCCATTCCACAGCTTTGCAGGCAACCTACTCATTGCAATACCCAGGGAACGAGTAACTTCTGCAACCTATTCCTGCTAACATGTCACGTCCTGTCTACTTACCAGTCACAGCTGGTGATTGTATGATCTACCACAGTCCCTGGGGAAGGAGTTGCAAAGTGCTCGGTAGCAGCCAGGTACAGATTGGTGCTGATTTTCTTCTGAACTACAAATACCACCATCTTGGGCTGGTAATTCTCAAAAGCTTCAAAACACTTCTGCAGCTGAGGAATCTCATAGTTGGCAACCGTCTTTAGCTGGCCATCAGACACTCCATCGCGGTACACCACAATCTTCTCCGGGAGACAGTGGTTCACCTGAAATGACACCTCCTGAGGTGAGGGTGGAGCCCCGACACGAGCGCCCACGGGCAGCGCGGAGCGGGGGGCGGCCCCGAGGCGAGCGCCCACGGGCAGCGCGCGGCTGGCTCAGGGCAGCCGGAAGGTGCAGCGGAAGTGTCAAGGGCAGGGCAGGGCTCTTGTCCTTCTTACACGTCCTCAGGGCAGTAAAACAGGTCTGGCACACCAAAGGCATCAATAAAATATGAAAGTTGTCAGTCACATGCACATGACTCATCCTCAGAGTGAATAAAGTTATATGGGAACTTTAGTAGAAAATTATGGGCTGAATCAATCTCCTTCTACTTGGATTTAACACTAATTACTGTGTAGGCCAAGAACAAGGTGAGCTGTTAGAGAAATTCTAACACAGACCACACTTCCCACAGACCCACCATCCTCATAGCTTTAAGTATTGGCAACACCCGAAGTTGCTAACAAGCGAAAGGGTCCTTTGCTAAATATCATCCTACAGTCACGTACAAAGCGCAACATTTTTACTGTAACTAAGTAATCAGGAAAATTACTGTCATGGTAAATTGTCCATGGATTCAAATAAAATTAAATGTTCTCATCGTGTTTGACTTCAGTAGTTCAAGAGAAAAGGCTATTCCATTTTACACTAGGAGTTCTCTGAAAAGTGCTTTAGTTTACTTCACCGGAAGTGACAGTTTGATTATGAGTGTGGTTCCTCTAAAGTTTTTGTTCACAATTCCCCTCAAAACCCAAATCATCACTGAATTAAGTATGCACACACTATACATTCTTCATAGGTTACGCTATATGAAAATTTAAGTTTCATTTCAAAGAACACTTTTTAAAAATAATTAGCCAGAATCTTTTTGGAGCCTAAGTTCAATTTCAAATATTTTATGAATGTTCCTTTTTTCTGATCCACTCAATACGTTTACAAACATGTAATTCGTCCTCACATTCCAGGACTGTACTTGCTGCCCAAGTGCGCAGCACGTGTTCTGTCTGTGCTGTTTCTGGCCACCCAGTATCTCTTCCACCTTTTTGGGAAGAGGGTTAAGTTCCCTCCTGCCTCCAAGACGATGGTCTTGGGGGACTATTAGCCCAGGTGCTTCCCACTAATCAAATCCAGGCTTTGTCAGCTCGGCACTGCTGACATGCAGGGCGGGTCAGCTCTTTGCCACTGGGGGCTGATGCCGTAGGATATTTAGCAGCAGCGTCCCTGGCCTCTATGCACTGGGGGTCAGTAGCAGTCTCCCCAGTTACAACCCAAAACATCTGCAGGCAGTGCCCCTGGGGAGGCCAGACTGCCCCCAGCTGGGAAACACTGTGCTAACCAGGGACACAGCAATGACTCAAGCCGCGCCAGCAGATCACGCCTCCCTCTCCCCGAATCTTGAGCGGAGAATAAAAATCACTTGGAGCCTGGCCCCTCTGCCACAGAGGTCTCTGCCTCTGGAACCCCAGGGGCAGCCCTGGCTCCTGTCCTCTTCACAGCTGGACACTCAGCCTTCTCACCGGTCCCTGAGACTCCCCCTGACCTTACCAATTTAATTCCCGTTATGTGAAAGCATGTTCCTGTGACTTCCCAGAAAGCCCCCACTGACACGCTGTGTCAGAAGGTGGGTATCACAGGCACTCCGATCCGGAGGGAGCCCTCACGTCACAGGTGAGGAGACCGGCAAGAAGTGCCCAGGATCTGGGCCCGGCAGACCGGGGCTGAGTCTGATTCTGCTGCTTTTCAGCTATAATATTGAAAACTCTGTTTCCTCAGTTGAAAAATGGAGATAAATGACTACCTTACCTCCTTCTTGGGGTTGTTAAAAGGGATAAAGTAAAAAATAAAATAAATATATACAGGGTGAGGCCAAAGTAGGTTTATAGTTGTTCATATGGAAAATACTACAATAATTAATAAATAACAAAACAAGAATAAATTGTGTTTTCGTGTACTCACAACTGAAACCTACTTTGGCCCTTCCTTGTATGTACATATGTACCTATATTAAAAGCTGTACACAAAAGTTGAGATGTTCTAGATGAAGGAAACAGATACTCCTAAGCATGGAAAAGGGACAAAACAAGACTGATAGAGTGAAAAAATAGAATCATATTAATTTCAAGTATTCATTAATATCACCTCTTTCTTTAAAACCTGCTAACCAGCCACTGAGTGTGAGGTACTATTCTTTGCCCTATGTAAGCTTGCAGTAGAAGCAAAAAACATGATCCCTGTTATCAAGGAGTTTAAAACCTATTAACAGTCAACAATGGTGAGTTTTCTAGGCCATCTGGACCATTCTCCTCACTTCATAAATGATAAAATTATGTTCTAAGGAGTGGTCAGGATATACAACAAACCATTACACAGACACACAGAGGTTAAAGTGTACCTTATATTATTAAACCAGTTCACAAAACAGTAAGTGAATGAGCACCCTGAAGGCAGGACTGTGCCTGTTTGGCTCGGTACCCTTAGCACTGATGACAATGGCAAGGGTCCAGCAAGTATCTGCTGGAAGTCTGAGATGTTCTTCTATGGGTGGCTCCGTTCATTCATAGAAGACACACCTAATGTCCACTAGTGATAAGCCACTGTTCTCGTCTCATAAAATTAGAAAATTACTTCAATACCATCCAAATATTCATGGAACTCAAATTAGAACCGGGAGACAGACACATAAAGCAAATGCTCTCAGTATCTTGTAAGTAACACGATTACAGCATAAGCAAAACACTGTGAGAACAGAGAACTATAAGATGTTTGTTCTCTGGAAGGAGAAGTAAATACTAACCCTCAGGAAAAGGCAAGATGAAAGACCTAGCAGACAATTCAGCCAGCAAAGACGGGTAAAAGGATCCAGGCAGAGCATGAGCGAAGGCCTAGACTGTGGTTGGACGAGGGTTAAGTAAGTAAATGACTGAAGTCCAACCTATTCGATCGGTCCCGTAGTTAGAGGGCTACTCTGGCAACGGTCCACAAAACAGACTGAAGATGGTTAAGAATGGACATTAGGAGGTCATTTCCAGCTCAGGATATCAAAAGATACAGAAAAACCCCATTCCCATGGAAACCCCAGAAAAGGCAAAAAGTATAAAAATCACACATGGGGGACTATCAAAGACCAGCAGGCAGAGAAAGCCTGGAGAACCTCGTATCCAGAGAGGGACCTTCACAGGTGAGCAGTGAATTTCAGAAGCTTCCAAGGGGCAAATGCCAGGAAGGAGTGCGGGCAGCCGGAAGAGGCAGACTGAGGTCTGGGAAGTTCACCAGGTCAACAAGAGGCCAGACAGACAGGACTCTGGGGACAGAGCTGGTAGGAGGCCCCAGGAATCTGTCTCCCCACCCAGACAACAACTACACTGATGGAACCTGATGTTAGCTCTTCTGGAACTCTGGCGTCTGCTGAAGGCTTGTGACCTCCAGGGGAAAGCCCAGAAGGTGGACTGCAGCTGGCATCAGCAGTTAGCACCACAGCAGCCCTCAGCCACCTCTCAGGACCCTGCCTTACAAATACCGGACCAGTGCTCTGACTGCGGGTTGCTGCCTCTGATCGCAGAAGGGCAAAGAGGCCGCCGGCCGTCGGCCGTCGTTGCTGCGCCTCCCCCGCCTGCTGAAGTGACTGCCAGGGAATGTCACGGCAGAGGCCGTTCCTTCCCGCCCTCGTTCACGTTGTCCTTCCCCTCCTCTAAGGGTCAGACACTGAAGACTAGGACATTAAGAAACAACTGCATTTGTGGGAAAAAATCAGAGCGGGACCACACACGCCCAGGGAAAGGCTCAGAAAGGGCCCAAGGAGACCTCACAGTTACAGTGCTGGTTGGGCCCCAGCACAAGGACATGCTACAACAATGAAGAAGGAAAAAAAGACCAGCAAACCCTGGGCAAGGAGAGTCTGATTGCCAGAGTGACCACACTCAATGTCCCGTTTTCAACAGGTCCCAAGGCACAAAAAAATTGGAACGTATGGCTCATTCAAAAGAAAAATTAAATCGACAGAAATTGTCACTGAAAAATCCGCTGGCAGGTGTACTGGCCTAAGACTTTAAAACAGCTATCTTAAAGATGCTCAAAGAACTAAAAGATACACAGAGAGTAAAGAAAACAATAGATTTAAAAAATGAAACTATCAATAAGGAGAAAACCCAAGAACTAACCAAAAAGAAATTCTGGAGCTGAAAAGTACGTTAACTGAAATTTAAAAATTCACCAGACAAATTCAAAGGCTGATTTGAGCAGGCAGAAGAACGAAATCAGTGAACCTGCAGATAGGACAATGGAAATTATTGAGTCTGAGGAACAGAAAGAAAAGACTGAAGAAAAGAGAAGAGAGCCTAAGAGACCTGCAGGACACCAGCCAGGGAACGCACACATTGTGAGAGACTCAGGAGGAGAAAGACAAAGAGGGAATGTTTGAAGAAATGATGACAACTTCCCGAATCAGATAAAAGACAATAATATAAATATTCAAGAAGCTCAATAAACTCTAAACATTGTGAATCTGAAGAAGCTGACAATGCCCTGACTGGGTAGCTCAGGGGTTTACAGTGTCATCGGCTACACCAAGGTTCCCGGTTTGCTCTCTGGTCAGGGCACGTAAAAGCAGCAACCAATGGGTGCATAAACAAGTGAACACCATGCCAATATTTATCTCCTCCTCTCTAAAAATCAGTAAAATAATTTCAAAAATAAAGAAAAAAACCCTCACACAAAAACATATTATAATCTAATTTTCAAAATCCAAAGATAAAGAACCTTGAAAATAGCAAGATAGAAGCAAATCATCACATACAAGGGCTCCTCAATTAGATTATCAGCAGACTGCTCATCAGAAGCTGTGGAGGCCAGAACGTAGTGTACTGATACATTCAACATGCCAAAAGGGAAAAAACTCATCCAAAACCTTTACCTGGCAAAACATTCCTACAGAAGTGAGGAAGAAACTAAGACATTCCCAGCTAAACAAAGGCTGACGAACTTCGTTATCAATGAACATGTCCTACAA